ATATATTAATATATCGTAGTAAGTTATTATATTAGTTTATTATAAGAGCTATATCTTATTATATTAGTATATTTCTTATTTATCTATAATTTCTTTTATTAATAAGAGCTAGCTATATAACTAAAAAAGCTATACTTAAAGTATAGCTTCTTCTCTTATTACTTACTTATAACTTTCTTAGATAACTTATCGCTATATAGCTTTCCTTAATAACTTAGCTTCCGGAATATTATATTAAGTTCTATTTCCTAAAGGTAGAATAGTTTCTTATTACTATCTCTTTTTTCTTAGTATATATATATTCCGGAGTAGTATTAGCTTTTCTTCTTAAGTGCTCTCTTATAGTTTTAGTTATCGATTTTAATAGCTATCTTAATAAGTTCTTATAAGTTAGTAGATATATCTGATTTTAATATCTTATCTTTTACTTTATTTTTTAACCTTTTATAGTACTATATCTAAAGGGTATTATTATTCTAGCTAATCTGATTTATAAATTACTAGAAGGTAGTAGTATATATAGTTACTAACTTAATCTACTTTAGGTTCTAGATATTCTGCTTAGTAGTACAGTTCTAATTAATATTACTAAAGATATAGTTAATCTTATACTTAAAACCTTTAAAAGTTATAAAGATCTTCTAGGATTCCTTAGTTATTATTATAGAGACTCTCTTATTCTTAATTTAGTTCTAAATATAGTTTAAGAGAAAGATCTTAATCTAGTTAAAAGTAGATCCCTAGATAAAAGATAAAGCTTAAAGGACTTTATTAGTCTTTATAGTGAACTAGTGACTATTAAAGCTTATATAGAGCTTAACTTACGTGAGATATACTCTAAGCTTAGATCGGTCTTTATTATAGAGATCCGGGGCAGTGATCTTAGGTATATTTTTAGTATTAAGGGTTCTAGTAATAGCTAGGTTATTACTTAATAATAATCCTTTAATAGAGAATATATTATCTTTATAAGTTAGTACCTCTAATAAGAAGGTACTTAAAGTATAATAGTCCGGTATTTACTTACTATAAATATAAAAAGCTATAATTAATCTCTAATAATTAAGAGGTAGGTATATTATATAAATAGAAAAATAGTTACTAAGTATCTGAATATTATTTAAAGTTAAGTATAAAGCTCTTATTTAATAGTAGATATACTAGTTTTATATAGAACCTTTATTCTCTAAGGATCTCTATAGATCTTACGATTCTAAAGCTCTAAGAACTTTAAATCTTATAGTTCTAAAAGCTTTATACTATTATATAATATATAATCTTATAATTCTGTTCCTAGTTCTTAGCTTCTCTATATAGTAAGGCTACTAAGCCTTAGGGCTAAGATATATATAATACTTCTTCTGAGTACGCTCGTAACAGATAAGATAATTACTTAAACTAATCTCTTATAATAATAGAAACTTTTATAAGCTTAAGAAGAATACTAATAATTAGATTATATTTAGTTTACCTTCTACTTAAGTTATAAATTAGTTATAATATAAGTAGTAATTAGATATAACTATAAGTTAAAGATATACTTTATATCTTATAAAAGCGAAAGTAAAGGATTTATATAAGAGAAGTACACGGATTAAATCCTTTAAAGACTATTAAAGAAGATATTTAAGTAGCTAAAGGATTTCTTTTATATTAAAAATAATAGTAATATTTATAAGAAAGAAGATATAATTAAGAACTATAGATTATATAATATTATCTAACTTAAGTATTATATATATTCTATTAACTAGCTTTCTTATTTCTTTAATTTAAACTTAATTAAAAATATTTAAAGAGTTCTAAAGTAAAGACTATAAAATCGGAACTCTTATAATAATTAGAATTTAGAGAACTTAAAAGTAGTAATACTAGATATCTAAGAAAACGAAATTTCTATTAATATAATTAATAGATTTATTAATATAATACCTTAGAGACTTAAGAAGATTAAGTTAAGGAAAGGGGGATCTTCTGGATAATAAATTATTACTATAAATAGCAGTAGAAATAGCAGAAAACAGGAGGGTGGACGAGACCCACTTTCTACCCCCTTCCGTACCTTACAGTAGTACCTAAGGTAGCTTAAAGGTAACCTCTGGCGGCTGATCCTGTATTGTAAATTAACCAGGGCATCCATCATTCGCATCGTGTCGATACTTGTGGAATTACCTACCTACCTACCTAGAGTGCTCTCGGTGCTGTGAGTGAAGTCCGTCGCGTGACCTTCGCTGGCCGATCATTCTTGGCGCTGCCATTCAATGGTCCAAGCAGTGGAAAGTTTCAAGTTTCAAGTTTCGAGTTTCGAGTTCCGAGTTTCAAGTTTCAAGTTTTCCATCTTCGGCCTACTGCTGCCAATCAATGGTTTGCCGTCACTCGACCCTGTCTATAGCAGATCGTTACAGTAGATAATATACATAGCTCCCCAGGACAGCAGGCGCCATGACAGGGCTTCCGTCTCTCTCAATCCTGGATGGCTCCTTTTCCCGGCCTCGTGCTCGTGCAGCTGGAGTCTCCACTTCGGGAAAATATTACTTCAGATATACATACACCCACCCTGGAAGAGCTGAAAGAGGATCTTCGATAGAACAGGTTCCTCGTGCATGCATGAATTTTGTTCAGCACACCGAACTGTGCTTTCCTCCAGACGTGTCCCTCCGAGTGGTGGCGATTCGTCGACAGAGGTGCGCTTAACGCCGGGGCAGTGCTATTGTCGTTACCTCTTGACACCGCGAAACAAGTATTTCTTTTTGGCCTACCACAGTCCGGCATAGTTTCGGAATGCTACAGTCCCTTTCAATGTAGTTTCGGAATACTTAGCTATAGGTAAGGTATCCGGAAACTATTCGCAACTTGCTTTTCATTCTGATTCTCAGGGTCTACACTATTCCCCCGAGCTTTTTTACATACAAACAATCATACTGCTTAGGCCTCGTAGAAAAAGCAACGTTTCTTACCTTATTCAAACAACTGCCAAGTATTCCGAAATTAAGTTGAAAGGGACTGTACACTATTACAAGGTCTGCCAAAAGTCCGTTCGTGATTTCTTTCTACAAATGATTGTCAAGATCTGTAGTATTCCGACAAGGTTTTTATATGTCAATTATCACTCCACTTAGACCTCGTGGAAAATAACCGGTTTTCTTACCTTGTCGAGCTTGTTTAGACAACTTCCAAGTATTCTGAGATTAAGTTAATGGTATTGTAAAACGCTTTCATGCTCGTACCCATGCTTGTCCTCGTGGCGTTGTAATACTGTATGAAGACGTCCTCGTGTAGGCGAAGTCGTCTGAGTCTATTGAGATCATTCAACAGCTCTATGTTTCAAGAGGTCAGATCGAAATCTTGAGTCTTTTCGTCCTGAAACAGGATGTGCACGAGGTTATATTGGGATATGTATGCCTTACACCGGAGGACCCTTCCTTGCTTCTTTGATATAGCGGTCGAGGACTAACATGGCGATGGCAAAGAATGTCACAACCTTCCTGGTATTTATCCATCATGGTACAGCTTTTAGCCAGTTAAAATTGACGTGGCCAGTATCGTTGTCGGCTCTCTCCAAGGTATCAATGTTGTTTCGTGTAGGCTCTGGGTAGATATGTGGCCCTAACCCCGAGCTGTGAATCCATATTCTGGCTGGCATACACCCTTGCGCCTATGTGTGCAGTGATGAGGAAGAACATGTACGTGCACTGTCAAGCATCTTGCTCAGAGCAAATTTTCGGCCAGCAGAACCTATAAATGATGGAACTTATCATGTACCTTACTAACAGACCTAGGGAGATGGTCATTTGTTTTATGACGAATGTTTTGTTGACTCCACACTATTGGACCAATTCTATGTACGCTGGCTGGGCGAATCCCATGTCTGTCTGGTAGAGTGTTATTGGGCATAACGATCGCACATCAACTCCACATAGATATGAGCTTGCCTCGCTTGTTGTCTGGGAATACAGCATTGGCCTACTGAAGCAACCGACTTTCATTCTGTTTGCTCATTCTGTTGTTCGATAGCTTCAGGATTTATGACGGGATACTCGAGCAGCGATTTCGCCACTTAAGGTATTGTGCTATCCTACAACTAGCCCCAATGGAGCCGCAGCAGCGAACATGAGGCCACCGTACTGGGCTCTATGAGAGCGAGGACCATATCGCGTGTAAGGGTTCATCCATGTCTTAACCTATCTTCACCTGTTTACGCTAGCTTGAAAGCTGTCTGCATTGCCAACGTTGTTCACTGGCACCCGTTCACAAGCAACGATAACTCCCGTCCAACTTCTCAAATGACAAAGGACGTACAACGGGGCGGCCTTTTGGCTATAGACAGATCGAGTTGTCATCGAGCACTGAATGTCGCGAGGTATGTCCCGGGGTGTCAACTGTGTAGCACTGGTATATGTTTAAGCACAATCCCTGTAACGAAACCCGAATCATGTCTCTGACTACCGCTTACGCAACTCAAAGTATTGCCTGTACAGTTTGCCTGCAGCCGATTGACACCTCGGGGTCCAACTAGAACACCTAGACTAGCAGGACACGACTACTATCAACGAACAGCTCCTCGGACATGACCTATCACCTTGGATGACTACGTTCATGGCCCTCAAATACAGTTTAATTGCTTGAAGTGGGGAATGCGACTGCTTTGCGACATGCTCGGCTTCTAATATTCTTGGAGCTCTCCAACTCCCATAGCGCGAGATCCACAACCTGTGTCATGTCGCTATCGCATTTAAAGTCGGTCAACCGGACTGGATAGCAACCCTCCAACTACTCCCTAGGAATCCCTAGTCTACTGTTGTTCGTCTGCTCTCAGATACACGAGCTTTTCAAATTCTTGTTCCATCCATTCCTTGTACCTTGCGGGCTAGATTATACCCATAGACCGTCAAATGTTGCTCCTATTAAATGAAAGGGTATCGGTTTATATATAGCTTAATGCTCTGGCTTGAGGCCATCTGCTCTGCGAAATATGTACAAGGCGAGGACTTGTATGTCCCTCACCTCGAAGTAAAGTCCCTCCGCTCTTGCAGTAACATTTCCTGTTCAAACCTACAACTGCCACAGTACTCCTCCTGCCATCTCCGAAGCTCGTCCGCCCTCCTCTCCTGCTCCCTAATTCCTGTTGTCTGTTGGGATTCTCCCTGCGTTGTGGGTTTCCTCCTCCGATCGTCCTGTAGCATCACTTGTACCTGTCGGCATGACTGGTTCTCATTGAGAAGCCAATTCTCCCATTCAGCTTTTACCATTTCTCGCTCCACATTGTTCACCACGCGGATGGCTATCATAAGCTCGTGTCGATATGAGCCTAGATGTTGCCGAGCACGGCGTAGCCGTTGGGCGGTTGATTGAGTCGCGCGCCTCGAGAACAATGCTCCAGCTGCTTCGTATTGGGAACCTAGGTCGGTTACATTTGCAATGTCTCTAAACTGAGCATAGCTTTTCGACTAGTCAGTATCTGGTATGTTATTGCACTTACTATTTGCTTACCACTTGCTTGCCGTTTGTTTCACGTATGAGACTGTCAGAGCATCGTCAATATCCTTCAGGAATATGGATTTCCCCATGATTGGGTTTGGTCCTACGCCAATTCTGGTCATGAACTTGGCGGCATTTCTTTCTGACCACCATTCCGATGTGTCCCTTGATGTGAAGAATGCGTTTGCTAGGATACTGAGCAACAGAGCTGTCAAGATGATGCTGTGAGCGCTCGCAATCTTCCAGAGCGTCCGGATTGCGGCAAATGTCCACATCATAACAGAAGAGATTGCGCTTTCGCCAAATGAACCTACGGTCTCGAGAAGCATGTTGGTCAGGGTGCGCTGTTTAATTTGTGGCCGCTTCGAATGTCCAGAGTCCTTTGCCGAGAAGAGAGACACGGAAGTCTGGAGGCCGATGTGACCGAAGATGTTTACTGCTTTTTTGGTCCTACTATGCGGGCCCAATTTTCGCACTTGGTCCGCAATAACATCAACTAGATCATCGGCATCCAGCCCTGAATCATCGAGTGCTTGTCGTTCCACAAGGCCTTTTGAAAAGGTTGGGGCCTTCGACCAGTCGACCTTAGTATAGATAGCTAATTTGGACCTGGATTTGGCGACGTGAGTAATCACGATTTTTGACACCAGCATAAAATCCTTGTGGTGCGGAAGATGCCATGGTGTCTTGCGGTCCGTTACTACGTAACAGACATGGTCATTTATTACGTCGATTACTTGGTAATCAACTATGTTGGCCTGCCTTGCACGGCGAAAGACATCAACATAGTCGATCTGGAAATGGAAGTCGCGTCGCAAGTGGTTCTCCTCAATGGATATCCAGGGCCCCTGGGCAATACGTTGTGCCCGCCTATCGTGGTATATCACCTGGAAAATTGTGCTTTTATCGCCGAAAATGACATGAAAGAGAGCTTTGGGACTAATATCAAATATTCTCTCAACGGCTTTCCGTTGCATATTCTGGGGCTCGTATACAATGGGCTACTTGAGAAATTAGCGCTGAAAAGTCTCATATTTCCGATTATGGCATGGGCGTTGGGATCTGCAGTCCTGCCAGACGACTGAGAAGTTTCTTTACGCCAAAGGCCGTGAGAACAAGGTGAGGGTTAGGTAAAATGCTGACCTGTGACGGAAGCTGGAACTTGGTGACTTCTTTATTTGCCCTTCCCAGGTGAAGACCTCGCTCAACATGGATTGTTGCTCGAAGATCTCGGTCCTTGCGTCGGCCCGTCAGGGTACCATCATCAATTGGTGTGTTGACAGATACGTCTTCCCAGCTTTCCATACTAGGGCTCCGAGTTGGATCGACGTTCTCCATTTTGACCAATGCATCGATCGTACTTTGAAGATCTGAAAGGTTTAAGCAACGGCTATGAAGGTTCTCAGCAGATTTACTTACTCAGAGGCTCTCTGGACTGCGAAATATCTATCAAGTAGTTGAGTCTTGATTGGAGTAGCCGCAGTGGCTCCAAGAATGTTTTGATTGTGATTCTCGTGTAGCCTACAGAGGAAGCATCTTCGCGAAGGTGCAGGAATATGAAATCGCAATCTCTTCCTGGCGCGGCAGTCACTTCTGTGATACTGTCCATAGATACTCCCGAAATCAAGACAAGGCCGAGGTGGTGACTGTAAAAATAAATGTCATGCTGCGTGACATAGACTCTGCCAGGGAATTCTTGCTGCTCATTCGGGTTCCAAGCAGCTCTAAATACAAGAAGCACTTTGTCATCTCTTGAAACATTGGGAAAGAGCATTCGAAACTGCGCCTCTTGTGTCCTCAACTCGAGAGGGTAGTTGACGGGGAAGACTTCTGGCTTTGGGGCGAAATGACCTTGCATACGGGTAGATTCAATGTCAACACTAATGGCCTTCCTATGCGCAGTAGGCAGAGCGGGGATACCGATAGCTTCGGTTGACGAATTGACTGCTGGTGGGACATGGGATAGTCCCATCTCAGGCTTACGATTCTCGTCACCTATGGAAATGTTAGTATGGTTATCTGCACTTAAACGGCTATAGAACACTCAAAAGCGACAGCTAAGAGAGTTAAATCCAAATTACCGATTCTGGCCGCAGGCTCAAGAAGTTTTATGCTAGGGCTTGGATGGACAGATGTGTTAGGCCCCTGCGACTTAATTTCGCCCTTCTCGAGGCGATTAATGTATCCCCAGTTGCTGCTACCCCAAAGATTTGCCATAATTCCAGATGGCATCCCACCCGTGGCATCGCTTCGTCCCACACCAATTCCTCGTTCGCCACTGACGATAACAGCGGATTTTGACAAGTTTGTTGGCGCTGGTGGGTTTGCGAGAGTCGATGGCGCCAGCGTGCTTGCTGTCTGAGGCTCTGTATTTAGTGGAGGAAATATTGGTGGCGGCTTAGTAGGAGCGTTGGGGCCTAGCTGGGTAATTGCAGGTGTTGAATAGACTGGTAAAATGTTGTGACTTGCGGATATCAGACTGGCAATACCACCAGAGGCTGGGGAAGGTGCCGGAGGTGGGTCGGCTTGAACAATGGTGGTTTTCCGATGAAGGTCGAGCTTCGACATGATCCGTGCTGCGTGATCTCTACTACTCTCACCATCTTCTCTTGTGGTCACAGACCTACGGGGAGCGCTGACGTCAAAGCTACTCCTTGGAGCTAAAATTCCCAGTTCTGGCCCTGGGACTGGTAAGGTCCCGACTCTGTCGAAATTGATTCCAAGCTCATCACTTCCATGTGCCATATGGCCGTCCATAGTCTTGGCGGCAAATTCAGGAATAGACGGCGGAGTAATTGCAAATGCAGGATCTATTCCCCCTGGGTGGGAGTAATTATCATTTGCGCTAGCTTCGAGGGCCTTATTTTTTGCGACTTCAAATGACTCCAGCCAGTCCATTAACTGCCCTTGCGTTTCAGCTTGAACAGTGATCGTTTGGTTTTTCGTCTTAACATCGAAACAGAATCGTCTCTCTTCTTGAACGGCAGGTTTGACATTGCAAAGTAGGACACCGATCTTTTCACCCTCTTCCACGCCGCCGGACTGGATGCCTTGGACAAGCCATCCAAAGATGCCATTCTTGACGTAAAACCATCGCCGAACCCACGTTGTTCTGGCAGGCTTGCCGGAAATACCTTTTAAGAATAACCATCCCTGCTTTCCCGATCGCTCTCCGTCCCTGCCTTGAGATAGGTTGACGGCTGAAGGACCTTTTACCCCGAGAGTAGACTGTAAATTACTTAGCCCAATTTCCACCACTTTCGGGAAATTTTGCCTACCACAGTAGATAGATTGTAATCATCTAGCTCTCGCGATGGCTTCGAGGCTTGAGACGCAGCCTCCGCAATTTCTCGCCTCGCAATCTGCAATTCTCGCCTGAATATGCCCTCGCCAGCCTCCATTTCTCTACTCCAGCCTCTTACACGGTCCATTTCGACACCCCATTTGGCAAAGCTAGCGCCACTGCTATCTCTTGAGCGCCTCATCTCTCTCCATTGATCCGAGGACACTCTTATCAAGAGCTTGTCGATAGTGTATCGAAGTTGAGGGGCCAGAAGACAGAAGTCGAGTGAGGCTTTGAGATATGCTTTCCTTGTCTCATGGACTTGGAAAGCATCTTCTCTCAGTGATGACGGCTCCTTTGTCTTAGATTGGCTGACATAGCGAGCCAAGGTATTATCGAAAGTCTTTTGCGATTGTTCGAGGTATCTTCTTGCATCTTTGAAATTTCGCAACCTGGATACCCATGTTAGTATTCTTGGCACTCAATAGCAATGGAGACTTGCTCTCCAGCCATGAAAGATTTGATAGGTTCCACAATGTTGGTGTCCATCTTCTTCATGCCAGATATAACTTGCGACCACCACTCCCTAGACCCTTCACCAAACCTCTTCATTGCAAGCAGGGTATAATCGTGGTCTAGCACAGCTTCGGACACATTGGCTGGAGGAACCGATCGAAGGAGGAAGGCATTGAATGTCTCTTCCAGTGAGGAAACATCATGGACGAGCTTCGATATAGATTTGACATAAGCATCGAGCCATTTCTCGATGATCTCAACCTGGTCAGAGAAGTGTACAGCGGTGGCGCGATAACTAGGACTGTCCAACGAAGCCTCTATAATGACCAGCAAACAATTAGCTTTCCAGAACGACGGATTGACTGTTGTGGGATTATTTGCCTTTCAGTCCAACGGGAATCAAGCTCAAGGGCTTGGCTATATGAGGTATTAGAGGTTGGGTTACTGATTCCGACATGACGCCTGTTTCAACACATGCTGTTCCAACCCAGGTCAGGCAGCTTGCAGCAGGGCGCCTCTTTACCAGGTCGAGTCCCTTGGTCTGATTTGGGTTTCTGCGCTGATTAGACAGCTGCTTGGAATCGTTGAATGATGGAAGTGAAGCGCCTTGATAACGTCCCCATGCTTGGCTGTGGTCGTTGCAGCCTCAGCACCGCCACTTTACCGCAGGCTTATTTTCAGCCACATATGCCAGCCCACCTGTGAGTGCAGCTCGTGATCATCGGCAGCCGGAATGACCTACAGGTAGGTAGGTACCTTTCGTACCTAGAGGTAGGTAGGTAGGCTCGGCTAGGTTTGGTAGGTACCTAGGTACTGTAAGGTACCTAGAGCTAGCTACCTTAGGTAACGTACTTACACAAAGGTACCTAGGTAGGAGGGGAAGGCTAGGCTACCTACCTACCCAGCTTGCCAGCTGCCAACCTACCCTGTTAAGCGGAGCAAAAGGTGGCCGGCCGGCCGGGTTGAGGCATGCAGCTATTCCACTACAAATCCTCAAAATAGAATGCAACAAACAGGTGTAATGATATGATCCGATGACGTAAAAATGCTCGTTAGCTCTTTCTAAAGCTTGCCTAAAGACCATATAGTGTTTCCAATCAATTGGTTCTGGTGTTCTCAGGGTGCCTCAATCGGCCATATAAACCTCTGCTTAACGAAGTAACAGCTGCCTACCTGAGCCTCAAGTACCCGTAGATTTAACCATCTACCTAGTGTCCTGTCAAGTACCTTCTTCACAATTTCACCTTTTAGGACTGTCTTCTTCTCGATGTCTCCAATTTTCTGTAGCACTATGTCAGGCTTTTCTCACTTGGGCATCGGAAGAAGACCCATTCTTAAACAGTAGGTAACTTCGACAGCCCTCCAAATGGCAGCGAGCTGTCACTGGGTCCAGCCTGACCGAGGTTTATTACCTAGGTAGGTATTACTAGCCACTGATGGAATCCCCAAGTCAGGTGCAACAAGCACCGCAAATTGTTGAGGTTGAAGTAGGTCTGTTCGTGAATAGAACTGCATTTGCATTTTTGATTGTGGGTTACCTTCAGGTACCTTACCTAGATAGGTACGAGGTACCTTAGGTAGGTAGGTAGGTATTCATTCCGGTTTGCCTCACGTGGCAGCCCTCACCAGAGCTTTCAGCTTCAGCTTCAGCTTCGAGCTACCTCTTTGCGCCGGCAGATAAAGCAATGGCACACCATGAATTCCACTTTCGTAAGATGATTTATCTGCCACCTGGATATGTGCCACCTGCAGTCAAGCAGGCCCGGTACAACTCTCGATCGCGGCGTTCAGCTAAGGTAGTCCTGCGTGACAATTCTGTTCTGAGTCCACCTAAAATGATGCCTAGATATTCTGGACTGGACCAGAAGGTGCCAAGGGAAGGGAATTATAGGTGTATGTACTAATTGCACGCAAGGGAGCTGAGCAAGCAGGACACGACGGCCGCTATAATCTAGAAATTCCAAGATGGGGCAATTGGCGATAGTCGAGGGAGGGACAACTCAGCCAGTGCAAACATGTCTGAAGTGTGCTGCCACTGCAGCAGCTTGCAGCAGCCTGCAACATGCTGCCAGTGGAAATGCAAACGGAATGCGAATGAGGTGTGCAAGTTGGCGGGCGAGAAAAACCAGAGTCGAGTACATATGTATAAGTAAGCAATCGCCGCGATATCCGTGCCCATCAGCGGCCCAACGTCATCTTCTCCGGCAGCGTCGTCCTCCACCACACCACCAGCCCCATACAGGTTTTTAGGACTTCCTTCGCCCTCTGCCTCTCCCTCTCCCATTCCTATTCCCACAGCCACGCCCACTTCACTTCAACCGACCAGACCGCCTTCATGCAATGATGTCGACGACCTCCAAAGCAAGGCCAGAGTACAAGTACAGAGGCTAACCCACTAGGCTACGGCTTCCCTTTGTTCTCTGAAAGATCCGTCTTAGGCAGGCTTGCGTTTCCCCCACTTTCTGCACAGCATTCGTTACCATTCTACGTCTTGATATCACTACATACCGTGGCTTAACTACCTGCGACGTTCTGCTACTTCCATGCGGTGACACGATCGACAAAGGACTCTTGACAACCTCCTGAACAAGCGAGCGCATGTTTTGAAAACCACGCTCCACTTACCCGCTCCACTTACCACCCTCTGTTTCCAGATACAGAATCGTAGCCTCGATAGCTCACGACGAAGCCATGGCTGCCCTGCACAACGCTCTCAAGTCTCTTGGGCCACTGGACATAGCCGATGCGCCCCTAGACGATCTCAAGCCCTTCTTGTCAGATGCTTTCAGCAAAGGACAGCTCCTTGTTGATTCTGTGCCTATCGCCGTTGCATCCGAGGAAATTATATCTTCAGAGGGACGCTCACGCGCGAGCTCTTCCGCATCGTCTGCATCTGAGATATCACTTTCCCATGCTCGATCGGATCCCCCACCCTCTGACGTCGAGGCTTTGCAAAAGGAATGGAAGCAGGTCAAATTGAATCCCAAGGAAAACCCTTTGGGGATGAGTGTTTATAAACTTGGAGGAAAGGACGGGAAAGGATCTTGGTTTGCTCGGCGGAGTGTACATGAAGGCTTGGGGTTCACAAAATGGAAGAAGGGATTGGAAAGAGAATTTCCCGAAACGATGAAGGTTGCGGGTGGGCCTGGAGAGGGGAATATCAGAGGAATTGGTGGTGAGAGGAGAATGGAATACAGGTTTGTCGATGGCGTAGGAAAGGTGGAAGGTAAGAATGCTCAGAATTGCTTCTGTTCTTAACATTAATGGCCCACAGTATACCTTCTTTCTGCTCAGTTCCCAGGACCAACAACTCCTCGTGACTTCGTTACCATGGTCATAACTTCTGACCAAGCTCTTTCCGACCAGTCAGAGAGTGGCAAAGATGTTCCTCGGCACTTTATGGTTATTTCCCGGCCCTGCACTCATCCAGATGCACCTCCACGTGAAGGGTTTATAAGAGGACAATATGAATCTGTCGAGTTTATAAGGGAGATCCCTATATATAAAGCTCCCCGAAAATCTTCTTCGACTACAAATTTACCCGCTACTCGAAGTAGAGCCGCATCCACGCTCAGCAAAGACGCAATCCTGCGGAACGCCAAGAAAAGCCACCCTTTCTCAACAAGTGAAACTGGCCATACAGCAACGGGTAATCTGGGACTTTTCGACGAAGAGCAGCCCAGGGTCGGAGGGAGAGCTAGAGGGAAGACTATTTCTTTCGACATCTCAAGAGGATCGGACGCAAAGGGTGAGCATGTGGATGTCCCACGCGATGATGACGAAAGCGAATGTAACCCCATCGAATGGATTATGATAACCAGAAGCGATCCTGGCGGTAGCGTACCCCGATTTCTTATTGACAGGGGGACGCCAGGGGGTATCGTGTCGGACGCAAGCAAGTTTCTTGATTGGGCTTGTGGAAAGGACATTAGTGAGCTCGAAAGTGACGACGAATCTCAATTGGATGATGGTCCAGACACAGGTGGACAAGCGGACCACCATCGCAGCAATGACTACATTCAGAAGCGAGATTTGCATACTTTCCAAACAAACGGGCATCTAGCAGGGATAGAAGAAATTACAACGCCAACCACCGAGATTCCGGCGCAGGTTACTAACCACCTAGATCAAGTCACAGGAGGCTTATATGGCTTAGTTTCTGGGGTTGCCGGCGCGGCTGGTGGTTTTGTAGCAGCTCACACCCCTACTGTCGTGTCACATAACTTTTCCCGTACTGAGGAGACTAAGGCTGGCAGTCCGTGTCGAGATTCAGTTTCATCCATAAGCAGCGTGTCTTCGGCTGGGAGCTTCACTTCTGCACTTGAAAACTATGGTGAAAGTGGGAACGATGCTTCATCAACTATAACTATCGAATCAGGGGCCCAGAGGAGGACTACAGCTTTACAAGACCGCGAACTTCAAAAGTTAGAGGAGAGAAAGCGAAAGCTCGACGAGAAACTGAACAAGACCCGTGAGAAGGAATTGAATAAGAAAAGTGAGGACAGTGTGAAAGAGGAGGAAGCAATCAGAAAGGCTGAAGACCGGCACGAGAGAGAAAAGAGGAAGCAGGAGGAAAGATATAGAAGAGAGGTCGAGAGATTGGAGAAGAAGAAAGAGAAGGAGGAGAAGAAAGCAGAGGAGCGACGAAAGAAGGCCCTTGAGAAGGATGAAAAAAGTAGGTTGCTACGGGACCTAGAAGAGGCGAGGGCCGAGCTCAGTATTTTGAGGAAAGAGAAAGAAATTTTGAGAAGTCAAGTTGGTGATCTTCAAGCCGAGAATACCGCTCTGGCCGCAAAGGTAGGAAGACTTGGGCCCCAGGGAGAGGAGGTTTTGAGGGATGTCAGGGCAGAGGTAGGACGCACTGGAAGATTAAGAGCCAGCAGTCTGAAGGGAATAGCTCGTGCCCCAAGTTATCGGAGCTCTTCCGGTGGGGAGAAGGCAGCTGAAAATAGAGCGCCTGTAGTTCCGGCCAAATCATGAAGGTCATGAATTCACAAGTATTTATACAGTTCAACTACAGCAAACCTTACAATTGGAAGCCAGGTTTGTACTTCTTATGATACATTGCAGAACGGCGTGAAGAAGCAGCGAGTATGTAGGCGGGTAGTTGTACCCTTGGTACCTCCAGGAGTCCTTTCGACTATCTTGTTTTGAAGCATGATATTTGACCAAGACCAGGTACTGAACGCAAGCTGCTTGGGTACCAGCCTGCTCAACTTGGTATTGGATTCGCTCGGTACAGGAGAATCCACAGTTCTGGGTCACTGCAAGTGTCTTCATTACATCCTGGGACATGTCCGACTGATCCTCTGATGATCTCGCTCCAACGAGCACTCGGCTACAAAGTAATGTCACGGGTAATTTGAAGCATGAGCCCATCCAACAATAATCATTCTGAAGAGGACATCCGACCCATCGCTTCAGGTGACGTGACGACAAATGGCAATCCTTTGCTCTATCTTATCATTGATCATCCTTCTTTGGTCTTTCATTCTCTTTGGCTCTCCCATCAGAAGCCATCACAGGTTTGGTTTTCTGTACTGCTTATTTCAGGTGGAATTTCATGGCACGTACCTGTTCGTATCTCGCCCCAGTTGCCGTATTCCCTACCAGTCCTCCTTTCAAATTCTTCTTGGGACAATATTGATGGTTGCGGAAAGTGATCGGAAAAGGACCACTAAGTTTCTCTCGATGACTCGACCCTGTACCATACAACAACAAAACATTCATGTTAATCTGACGTCAGTATAGCCGACGGTAAAGCCTACAATTTTTGATTGCAAATACTTGCTCCGATCTACAGTAGTGGTCTCCCCATTCAACGAGTCCTCCACAGTACATTTGTGTCGCTATTTTTTGATAGTTACATAACGAGGACATTCAGCTAGTAGCCTGATACAGGGTTTAATCCATGGCACCAATAAGACACAACACAGCATCCATCAAGACCATAGCTGCAGTTATATAGCTGTTCTACCACATCAGTTGAGGATTCGAAGAAGATAAAGTCTCGACTTCGAGCAAGACAATAGCATGCCATCTATATCTCACACGATCCACTTCTGGTTGTATAACGTGCCTAGTACTGGCAATACACATTAACAACATCTAATCCGAAAGGCTCATGTTCTAGTGACAGATAATACACTCGCATCATGACAATAGCCAAGCCATAAGAGCCATCTCCACTTATGGGGTCCCGCTAGACATTGAGACTGGCATTCGTCGAGCATTACACCCCTTGGATAAGTCAACAAATAAGTCATGCACGGATCGAAGACACACAAATACAAATGCAATACTAACAAATGAAGCATTCTGAACAGGACAACTCCTATGTAATATTAGTGTTCATGTTTCCTTAATACTCGGGAGGATACAATTTTATAAGAAAATTGAATGGTTGCTTGCAAGGATCCGTTTCTCCAAGAAATCCGCAGATTCTGATCTTGTCCAAGGCTGTATCCGGCCAAGCCTTGGTGTGCCTACCAGGATCACCACCATGTAGAAATCCATACCGCATAAATAAAAGTGGCCAATCGAGGAACATATCTCTTAGTACCCAAAGAGTTAAAAACCTCTCAGGCTTTCGGAGTATTTCGGAAATAGTATATATACGTACCGAATTCAGCCACAGCGACGATTTCTCATAACGTTGTCGTTGTGCATAAGGCGCGATCGTGCTGTTAAAGACCTGGAGCCGATCGGCCACTTTTATTTAAGCGATATAGGAAATCACTGGGAGTCCAGCCATGCTCTGGTGTTATCCATGGAAGGCCGCAATCAAGTGTAGGTTGTTCGATATCGGAGAAGGAGTCAATCTGGTCAACATGGTTCTCTGCCTTCAAGCCTGCTCCCTCGCGAGTCGCAAGCGACCATCGGATGAGCACGTGTCAATTTCCCAGGTGAGCAAGAAAAATCATGACTCTGATCTCTGATGCTTCTATGGGCATTCTGCCGTCGCCATAATCCTCCGCCTGACTGTTCTGTAGTTTGGGTGGATGCGAACGAGGAAAGCCAGTCATGTTGACTGGATCATCCGAATATCTGGAATGAGGCAGATGTAAAATCTACGCCAGGTAGGCGGGAAGATCAGAACGAGGATGGAAATAATCTTCCGAGATAGATTAAGAATCACGACTAGTGCGTATTTGATCAACAGACCGCGATTAACCAGGAATTGCATACGCTTGGGCTTTCCGACCTTCTTATTCTGGAATACATACTATGGCTCTGTTCCGTTGCGATACAGTGTTTGCATCGCAGCTCAGACTGTAGGTGGTTTAGGGTCGCTGCCAACAGCATTGTCCTGAGCATTTTACCTATATATTGACTCTTATGGCCAAATTCGCCTCCATGCGCCACGAGGTCCTGAAGCTAGGTAGGTGCGCTACCTTCTGTTGTGCCGAGGTCTGTCAACGATGAACATATGCATCGATACAGATATAGATGTCGGTGCATATGCAGATATACGAAGTAGCTAGCATAAACATAAATGCACATGAATGGCCTTTGATTGACGACGTGAACTCACAGGCACAAGCCTAATCGGGAAGCTCATCATGGGTATTTCATGATTGTTAACATTATTATTCTTCCAGACAGCGCTCCCCTCCGCCTTCCATGATCACGATGGGGTCCGGTACTTACTTATACCCTGCCCCTGCCCCACGAAATGATTCCCTTCCCATTTTCTTGCCTAGGTAGATCAGATAGATAAATTACTCCGTACTAACCCAAGATGTGACCCATTCCTATTCCCATACCCCGGCTTAGTCTCACCCCAGCGAGCTAGAGGCTTATGGCATCATTATCAAGAAACAATACAGTACTCTCTCGTCACGACCAACGACAGCCTAGCACTAGCCCTCTATGGCGGTTTGCGCGCCTTGTGATCCAACCGTTTCAGACGTACTGTACTCCGCCAGGAGTACACAAAGAAAAGGGGGGGAGGCGGCTCATCCTTGACCCCAGCCCCAATTCTATCAGATGCTGGATGGAGCCTGAAAGGGAGAAATAACCTGTTCTCGTCGAGTCCAGTCCAGCTACCTACCTCCTACCTAGGTAGGTAAACTTACCTTAGCCAACGCTCCGGAAAGTACCGCAGCCAGCGGGTTGAAGACAGAATCCCACACCTTCCTACTGTACTGTAGTAGGCAAGGGACCTAGGTACCCAAGGCAGCCAGGCCAGGATAGGGCGGTCCTCTGCCAAGCACAGCACCTGTCCAGTGTCCAGTGTCCCCAGCCGGCATTGCTCTCTTGCGTCCCGCCCTCTCTCCGCGGGGATAGGACAGGGAAAAACCCACTTTAAATTTACTTACCTTACGACCTAAAGGTAGGTAGGTGGTAAAATTACCTTGAGGTAAGGTATCTATCTGTCTCCTCCCTGCTGCACGACTCCGTCGGTAAATTACCTAGGTGAATTTACCTTATAATACTTCGTTAGGTTTGTGAAGTCACTGACTCACTGGTCATCCAAGCCCCAGAATTCCCTTCGTCGTTCCTACCAGACGTCCTCCACGCTGCAGCGCATCCTCCCTCTGCTGAACCCCAACTGCAATTACCTAAGGTACCTGCCCTACATAGGTAACCTACCTACCTTACCCACCGTTCGTACGCTGACCTCCACCTCCACCTCCACCCCCCCTCATCCGGGAAGCCGAGCCATGTCCATATCCATATCCATAACCATATCCAGACTGCCTACTTAGCTTCACCACGCAGCTCTTACACCACTCACTAGCCACTCCACACCTTACCGTACGGTTCTCCAGTCTCCAGTTCTCCATCTGCTGCAACTGCAATACAGGCCTTCCGAACCTCTCGCTGTCATTTACACCTGCACCGTAGTCCCGCGAGTATCATTCACCCTACTTGTATTCGTATTTGTGCTGCGGAGCTGCAAGCCAGGCACGACACTCTTGGTCATCGCCTTTCCGACATACCTATTCCTCTCTACCGCAACAGTCACAACAACAACAACAGAGCCGGCAGCATTGATAGTTCTCGCTATCTACAACCGCCACTCGTTCTTCGTCCTTTACACACCCACTGCACAACTGTCGCACGCTGACCGGCTGCTGACATCTGGCTTGCCAGCGCGGAATCCATATATTCACCGCGGCATACGCGACGGCCCTGTTGCAACCTCCCTACCAGTGCCCTGCTCTGCATGAAACAATCGAGTCCACCGGGTCGCATGGCGGGGCATTGAGAGCAGCTAAAAAGTGCCCGCCGGCAATGTCCTCAACACAGCCTTTGCAAGGTTCGGATTCTTTGGACCTGGAGCAATTTATGATGGAGAATTGTCACCAGGCGCACAATGGCTCACTAGCTACCCCGCCACAAGGAGATGTAATTGGCAATCCTCAATTCGCGGACTTTTCGTTTGCTTACCACGGCTCCTCGGAGAATGGGCTGCCAGGAGATCTGACGCTGGACAACACTGATCCTTTTGCCCTCTCTGGGCCCGATTCTACCTCGGGGCAAAGGTTTTCGACGACATCCATCCACTGTGACCACCAGGGTTCTGTTTCTTCTCTCCCTGAGGATTTGCGAGGATCCATAACATCTATGCCGGCAGCACTTCGCACTACTTTGAGCAACGGTGCTCTTGGACGGGCGGGCAACGCCAGTATCAGCGATGCTTCGGATGAAGCGAGCCCCGGGAGCAATCGAGCCGGAGTTTTATTGGATGGCACATTCAATGAGGAGTTTGGGCTCGGCAGCGCGGCCATGGATGGGAGTGATTTGGGAAGTAGGTCCAAGGAGGACAAAAATGACCCAAATCCACCATGGAGTGAGTTGAAGACGAAGGCAGGTAAAGAGCGGAAACGGCTGCCTTTGGCGTGTATAGCATGCCGTCGAAAGAAGATACGTTGCTCAGGAGAGAAACCGGCGTGCAAGCATTGCCTCCGGTCCCGTATACCCTGCGTTTACAAGGTCACTACTCGAAAAGCTGCGCCACGGACGGATTACATGGCAATGCTTGACAAGAGGCTGAAGAGGATGGAAGACAGAATTATCAAAATTATACCAAAAGAAGAACAAGACGGTACGGCTGCAGCTGTGACCCGGGCTGTTGTTAAGCCAGGCATCCCGGGCGCGACTCCAGCCAAGAATCCGAACAGCAAAAAGCGACTTGCTGATGAGGCTTTTGCACAAGAGTTGGACCATTGGTCTAAATCAGTCCCGAACTCAAATACAGATGGCGTCGGATCGAAACCAATGCCATTGATGATTCAGGAAGCCGAGGAGAATCGGCTACTAACTGAAGGCGCCGAAGCCTTGCCTTCAAAAGAGCTACAGGAACACCTCTCCGAAATCTTCTTCGAAAACGTTAACGGGCAGACATATCACTTACTGCACAAGCCAAGCTTCATGAGAAAGCTACGGTATGTACCTGCGCTCATGCTCCCCGATGTCTTTGCGTACTGACCTCCTTCCAGGGCGGGTACAGTACCGCCTGTTTTGATTCTGGCCGTTTGTGCCATTTCCGCCCGCTTCTCAACACATCCAAAGCTCGCGACATACCCTGCTTTCCTAAGGGGTGAAGAATGGGCTGCCCCGGCTCGCAGCATAGTTGTGAGACGGTACGAGTGGCCCAATATCACTATCTTGACATGTCTTTTGATTTTGGGTCTCCATGAATTCGGAACATGTCAAGGCGGAAGAAGTTGGTCTCTTGGAGGTCAAGCGATCCGCATGGCCTACGCATTGCAATTGCACCTTGATCTTGACTACGATCCACACAAGCTGGGCGGTACGGCGGAGCTGAGCTTCATCGATCGCGAAATAAGGCGGCGAACCATGTGGTCCTGCTTTCTCATGGATCGCTTCAATTCTTCCGGGACGGATCGGCCTATATTTATCAAAGAATCATCGATCAAAGTCCAACTCCCTATCAAAGAAAAGTATTTTCAGCTTGACATGCCAGGACCAACCCAGAATCTTCAAGGTGACGTGCCGCATCCAATATCAGCTGGCGAAGGTCAGCTCTCCGATGCAGAGGAGAACATGGGCGTTGCAGCGTACATGATCAGGTCTATTGCCTTATGGGGTCACATTGTCAATTACCTCAATCTGGGTGGGAAAGACCAAGACCCACATCCCATGTGGCATCCAGATTCCAACTACTCTCGCCTCGTGAAGCAGACAGAAGCATTTGAATCGACACTTCCAGAGTCCCTGAAATATACCCCCGAGAGCCTCCATACGCATGAGACAGAGGCCCTAGCTAACCAATTTCTTTTCCTTCATATATCAGTACAGCAAAACATTCTGTTCATGAATCGGTTTGCTGTCCCTGTTCAGCCTGGAGGTCGGCCCCCACCAGATGTTCCGAAAGATTTTGTTGCAAAGGCTGGCACGAAAGCTTTTGAAGCAGCCAACAGAATCACCAGGCTATTACAGGATGGGGAATTTCACTTTATTACGGCGCCGTTTACTGGTTATTGCGCGTTCCTTTCGAGTACTGTGCACGTATTTGGATCATTTTCAAACAATCCTGCCATGGAGGCTGCGTCGAAGAAAAGCCTTGCCATTAATATTCGATATTTGACAAAGATGAAGAAATACTGGGGTATGTTCCATTGGATGGCCGAGAATCTCAAGCAGCAGTATAGAGTCTGTGCCGACGCCCGAAGTCAAGGCCCATCTGCAAACACCTCGTCCCAGTCACCAAGCATTTTCCAGTACGGAGACTGGTTCGATCGTTATCCTCATGGCGTATCACAATCAGACTTCGAGGATCCTGCAAGCGGGATAAAGAAGGAGAAGGGAGGTGATGCTGTTTTAGGAGAGAAGTCGGGCCTGCACACCGTGGAACAGTTCTTCGATACCCTCGAGTCTCCCAAGGCTCCACAGGATCGTGAAGCTTTCAGGCACTCGAAACGTAAGATCAGGAAGAGCCAGGCTGGTCGACAGGACCAAGTCCCAACCGTCAATACCGATATCTCTGGCTTGGGACCGGGCAATATGCAGATGCAGCAGAATACACGCCAAGTACCTCCGATCTATCATCAGATGAGCCCAACGACGCCTGTAAATATGTACAATTCGCAGCAAAGCTACTATGGGCACGAAGTCATGCTGCCACCACACCAGCAAGGGATTCTACCACAACTTGATCGTCAGCTTGTTTTCGGTGCCTATGCCAATATGGATCCTGCATCTCAGGGCATGCTTGATAGCCAAGGCTGGGAAATGCAAATGGGTGGCGGGATATCAGGTTTCACAACGGAGCCAACAAGTGCTTGGTTTATGCCATTCAATATGGAACCCCCAGATCTCGGGCATGAGCAGGATGTTTTCAACACCATAGGAGGCGCTTACGGTATGGGTGGAATGATTGATCATGATGGAAATATGGGGGGTCACAGCGGTGGCTAGGAGAAGTCCACAGTTTAAGGCGTTTTACATTGGGCGAGATTGTTTTCTGTAGGTATCCAAGGTGGAATAAGCATCGTCCCGGTATTAGGGTGGCATTAAGGTCGCGGTGAAAATCCACGGATGTATATGGGCAAGAAGTAGCGGACCAGGCTACGAGCCTGAATCTCTTGTCTCTGTCCCAATCATAAACTGTACCTACCAAAATATCAATCGCATGCCTATTGCAGCAGGTTGTACTTTCAATGAGTACCTGAGCGAGATTATTCGACACTATGTCAACAGCTGGTAAATAAGAGGTGGACTGACGGGCATATTACATATGTTGATGTGCACTCGATGCCACCCGTGGTGAGCATTGAACGTCGATCCAAGACACCTTGCCAGCCAATCAAGCTGTTCTGGGGACGGTCTTGCTCTTCCTTGACCTCTTCTTTTTCTTCCTGCCCATTTCCAAAACATCAGCGTCATCGTCAGCCTCGACTTGCGGTTCGCCATTGTTCAAAATAATCTCGGGGCCGTTTTCATTTCCGAAGGTCTCCTTCCTCCATTGGCGCAGCCTAGCTTTTTTCCCAAGCTTTTTCTTGTCTTTCCGTTTCTTCTCGGCATCCCTGAAGGTAGCCATCTTCTTGAGACCAGCAAACTCGTTTAATGATGCATCAGGGGCCATCAGAATATCTCGTGCTGTCAATCCAAATGTCGTGGGCGAGGTATCGCGATAACGGAATAGTGTGGGTTGATTGGAGTTGGTGGTTATGTCGAAACCCATTTTGCTGTCCACTAATTCCTCCAGCTTCTTCCTTTCCAGGCGAGTGGCCTTCTTCTTCGCCTGTTTCTCATGTTGACGATCCTTGCTTGCTTTTGGCCTACTGAGTGTACTATCGCCTTCCCTTCCCGACGACTCGGATTCTGAAAGTGCGAACTCGACTTTCCTCGAACTGTCCTCATCGAACTCCGGAATAATATCCTTAATATCAATATCATCGTCCCATTTCGGTTTCCTGACCTTTCTCTTGCCACGTTTTGCTTCCGCTTCGTCATACTCGTCATCCGATTTGGCCTCCAATTCCGCGTAGTACTCCTCACCGAATCGTTTGTTCATCTCCGATTCCCACATCTCATCATCCCAGCAATTGTCCAGAAAATCTGCCCATTCCTCTCCTCTCAGCGTCTTGCCCCTAATTCCTGCAGCTTTCTTGATCTTTTTGAGCTTCTCCTCGGCTTCCTCGATCTTCAGCCGTCGCAATTGAGCCCTCTCCGCCTCTCGCTCCTTCTTGCTGGCCTCCACCTTCTCTCGCATAACGTCCCGTTGCTTTTTCCTACCACTTGGTTCTTCCCTCCTCACTGACTTTGCAGCAATTATATCTCTTGCATAGGATTTCAAGACCTCGTTACTTCCTTGAGAATCTTCAAATCTCAGGTTGTATGCCTCCTCAAACTTCTCAGCACGCTCATCCTCTTCCTCATCGTCAGATTCCAAAGGTTGGAAACGTGCCCCATCACTTGGTACCCAGGCGCGTGCTGCCATGAAATTCGAAAGAAAGGTTTCGGGGTTCTTCTCCGCTGAAGCAATATCAAGATCAATGTTGACATTCTCCACCCTCGATGGATGTACAGCTTCGTTGATGAGACGGGACTTTGATTTCGGAACGAGAAATTCGCCATCTTCATTCGCTTCATCGTCCGGGTCATCAGCGGCGGCATCATGCATTGATTTCACGATCATCTTCTTCAAATCTGCTTGCTCTTGTGCAAAAGTCTGTGGCGCGTGCGCCTCCTTCTCTTCCCCTTCGAGGTGACCTTTCAGCAGATTCTCCCGGTGATAATCACCCAGGTACATGGGTTTTTGCTTCTTCGTTTCGGGACCTTCTGGTGCCGCTACATCGATGTATTCCTCTATCGGAGTGTAGAAGGTGGCATCGGTCTTGTACACTCTCGGATCCTTGGAACGGATTGCATTCAGTGCGTCAGAAATTTGAGCGTCTAGCTCCTCTGTTGCAAGAATTCCTTCATCGTCCTCTTCCTCGTCATCAGATGATTCAGAATCCTCTTCGTACTTGTCACCGTATTGACCCTTAGCTTTCCGGGCGGTGTCTTGGTACTTTTCCTCGACTGCTAATGATTAGCATACAACAAGGACAACGAACCACAGACTGCACTTACGGCGTTGTAGTTCCTCTCTCTTTTTGTTGTGTTCAAAGCGCTTAGCGTATTCGTGGTTAATCGTGAACTCAAGCTTCTTAACGTTGACCCCGCCGTCAGAATCGCTGCCGGAATCACTATCGTCCAAGAGATTTGATTTGAGGCCAACCTCAGTTGCACTGGCTCTGAACTTCTTGATGTCAGCCGGTCCTGGAGCTTGGCTCGGGCTTTCCGCTTTGCGTTTCACCATTCTCTGTGCTGCGCTGTAAGAATTGCAACAAATTTGGTGTTCTGGTCAGTTGCTGGTTTAATCTGCAAGTTGCGATAGAAAAAATATCAATGGGTAAAAACACAAGACCTGCTCTAACCTATTCTGGACTAGTCCAGAGCCTCCTCACGTCTGTCCCGCGTCATCCAGCATGCTCAACGGGGCAGGCTCGTGGACGTCGAACCATTCCTATCAGACTCACCAACTATATCAATGAACAATCCTACTAACCACATCACGACATCGTAACAACATTCTGCAACCTCCCAAACGCCCAAGATTATCGCCGGAACAGCGTGCTGTCACACCGGCCACCCATCCGACCCCTCCACTAAAGTTCTCATGGCTGAAGCAACAGCCCCAAAGCCCAGCAGCAGTGTAAAGCTGGTACTTCTAGGTGAGGCAGCCGTCGGCAAGGTACTTGATCATAGTCGCATCATCAGAAGTTACTATACTAAATTCTATTAGTCCTCGCTCGTCCTACGATTTGTGAACAACGATTTCCAGGAGAACAAGGAACCAACGATTGGAGGTAGGGTGGCGAGCTGCAGACGCAAGGCAACGTTTATTGACTGACTCGTTATACAGCTGCTTTCCTTACGCAGAAATGTAATCTTCCTACCCGGACTATCAAATTTGAAATATGGGATACAGCGGGACAGGAACGCTTCGCATCTCTCGCTCCCATGTACTACCGAAACGCTCAGTCAGCATTGGTTGTCTACGATCTCACCAAGCCCACATCTCTCATCAAAGCTAAACACTGGGTTGCAGAACTCCAGAGACAAGCCTCTCCCGGGATTGTTATTGCTCTTGTTGGAAACAAGCTGGACTTGACCAACGAGACCAGCAGTTCTTCCAACTTGTCAGAAGATGGAGATGGAGATGCAGCAGATGTCGAGGATGCTGAAGGTGATGCAAGGAAGGTCTCGGTGTCTGAAGCCAAGTCATATGCAAAGGAAGAGGGCTTACTGTTCTTTGAGACAAGCGCAAAACTAGGCACTAACGTGACGGAGGTGTTCACGGCTATTGCCAATGCTATCCCTGAAACTTCATTAAAGGGAGCTAGAGGACCTGGGGCTTCGCATGCTAGCACAGGCAGGACTGAGGATCAGTCGAGAGTGAATTTGGCCGGGCCAAGAGACGCTGCATCTAAGGAGGGCTGTGCTTGTTAACATGTTTGGTGCTGGTGGATGTGCTACGAGGAGGTCGGTTTCCTTGTGATCTATTGTTTATTGGACTTTTGCAGTCGCTGCAATATTTGAATGATTGCGAGCCTCCCACTAACTGAATGTCGATACAATGATACAATGAAAGGAGAAGAATAAGATGCTTAAGTCTGTGCTTATTTTGAGGAGGTAAAGCAAAGTACCACATCTCTGTGTCTTGTTCGCTTCCAATATTAATCGTAGCAAAATATTCTGGAGACTGACTCTCGTGATGACTATTTTAAGCCAAAAATTCATGGTATCAGGACAAAGATAAATGAGGCGAATGTATGAGACCCTGGTTGAGACTGATGTCTCTCGTTCTCTGTCAGTATTTACACTAGGAGTCGTTACATGGTGTTGAAAAAATTAGGGAAGAGTGTATGAGTGCATGGCCGCATTTCAGACCTTACAGTATCTTAGTGGTGAATAGCAAAATGTTTCTCTTGATTTGACTATAAAAACTGATTTATGGAAAGGAGGTTTGGCCCCCTTCTTCATGACTCGGCCTATACTCCTGGCATGCCCAGCACATCTCTCATCTCTGGTACTGCTCGGGGCAAGAAATAAACAACAAAAATACCACTAAAGGCCACCAAAAGCCCTGTGAACTAGAAGCAAAGTTAGCGACGCCCGGAAAAGACGCAAGTGCTGCCCACCTTTTCGAACCAAGTGTGAAAATAAGCTGCAGTCATCAAGAGCATGTAAAGGCAGAGTGCTCCAATGCCTAGGACAATCTTCGCCCCCAAAGTCCACGATAGTGAGCTTCTGCTTTGAGGTTGGGCTTCTACTTCTGCGCTCTTCACAGCCCCGTCCTTCATAATTACAGTACGCTTTTCCTTCGTCCCTCCTGCTCTTAGGACAACGTGGAAGACTTCCTCGAAGAGAAACATGCTTCCAAGCACAAGTAAGAAGACGTGCCCGCTGATATCATGGCCACCTTTCCACTTGCCACCTACAGCTTTACAAGCTACGCCTGTAACAAACTGCCTGGTGGAGTCCATATCAACATTTCCCGCGTTCGCTTGCTCCACGAGCTCACACTGGCCCCCCGTGAGCATGAATCCACGATCGATGATTGCAGGTCCAAAAAACCATTGAGTGACAAAGAACCACCACAGGGTGACAATAGCATATCTGAGCAACCCGCGAAGTCGCTTGTGCGTAATTGCTAGCGAGGTCGGGCCAGTAGATGGGTGAGTAAACAGGAAGAAAATATAGCTAAATGTGACCCAGGCCCAGCCCTGTTTGACGAAGAACACATTGAATATGTTGCTTTTCTTCGCAAAGTATGATGGCGCGGTGTTGGCAAAATGCGATTGTGTGGTTGAGTTGTAAGGAGCTGCCCTCGCTGCTGGATCTAGAAGAGCGAAGAGAGAGCCAACCACAAGTGTGGCAGGGTAAGTCGAGAGGATAATCGTTTCGAGCGAGGTGGGGAGATATGGAGCCCTTCGAGTGGCCATCCGGAGGGAGGAAGAATGGTTTGAACTCGTCGTGCTAGGAAAGGACTGGCTTGCTGCAGCTGGAGGAGAAGATGAGAGCTTTTGAATTCGCTCAGAGCGCCGAGGCGTCACAGAGGGCGAATCCATTAGTAATTGCTGCTAAAGGAATTGGCTTTGGCTTTAACATCAACACGGGTATTCGCAACGCGAAGTATGTTGGTATAAAAGCTGTGCTGTTGAAAGCGTAGAGGCAACAATGACAAAACAAAGCAGTTGCCGATGACGTTTTGAACTCCAGGTCAGGATGTGCCCTGCCCTTGCCTGCCCTGCTTCCGGCTAGCCAGAATTGGAAGCTCGCTCCACCCTGCAAACCGACCAGCCACGGCCACCGGAGCAGGAAACGGCAGAACGTCCCTATTCAGCCTCGGGACGACCTCTCCATCCCAGTTCATTATCCGCCCAACTCTCTCCATTTGGCAACCCTTCCACGTCCTTTCCTTGCTCGTGTTAGTCAAGAAATCCAGCAAGTGACAATATATCATTGCTGGCAGCACCTACTTCCCCCTCCTTCTGGCGACTGCACCCGATCTGGCGCTCTCGCACTTCGTGTACTGCGCCCCGGCACTCTGCTTCACTTCAACTCCCTCCCTACATCCAAAACAATACACTATGGTCTCAACACGAGGTCATCCCCAGGAATTCCCGGAACCAGACCTCACTCCACCCAAGCCAACCGCGTCGCGAGCGCAGAAAGGCAAATGGGCTCACACGCCTTCCAATTTAGCCATTGTCTGGCTGTTCATTTCCCTCCCTCTTGTCGCCTGGGACACGGGTTATGTCATGCTCCGGCCATTAAGCATGCCCGGAGGACGTCTTCACTGGCCCCTGTGGGTTCCGTATGAGTTGTATGGGAGGGTCGACTACATCTATGGTTGGAAGGCTTTCGACGAGCGAAACGGCTTCACAGCCGCCCAGGGCCTACTCAACATTGTGGAGTCACTTATGTACTTGTACTACCTGTACATTGTACTTGTATTTGGCCGCCAGACGAATTCTCACCTTCGGGGAGCTTCTAGCCCTACGAGAATCGGATTCCTAGGCCAGCAGCGGTATGTGGACGGCCAGAAAGGTGCAATCGCGGTTTTGGTGGGTTACAGTGCGGCTGTTATGACATTAAGCAAAACTGTGCTCTACTGTACGTGCCCTTGTCTATAGATGCTTTCTTTACTGATGTCAGCAGGGATGAACGAGTTTTATTCTGGGTTCGAGAACATCGGCCACAATAGTATTCAGGATCTGATCTTCTTATGGATAGTTCCAAAGTAGGTACTTTATACGTTCTAGCGCATATTAACAACGCTGATATCTGATGTCTATTAGCGGTGCTTGGCTTGTCTTTCCATCCTATATGATCTACCTGATAGGTAGTGAGATTTTCCAAGGCTTAACAATTGTTTCTAATAGAATAGTTATAAAGACTATAGATAAGATACCTTAGAGGCAAAGGCGAGTGTAAATAAACTATCCTAGATTTTGTATCAGCAATATGCCGCTGGACTATTCTCGATATGGCTTAGCGCATGGTCTAGGCCGCCTTAAGTGAGCCTTGGTGTGCCTACTTAGCAGGGGCTCCTTTTTGAACCTTTTTGTTTAATGTTTATCTTTTGTAAAATACAACGTATTACTAATCAACTAAACCTTTACTATATTATAAGATAAGCTAAATATAATTCTTACTTGTTTTTAGTATTAAAAGAGTAAACGACTAGACGGCGAGCCTGTCTTAGAAAACCGCGACCGTCGCATCGGGCAAGGCGCGTGCACTGGGCCGGCCGCTTTCGCAGGCAAAGGACGTCCCTTTCCCTCCTTATTGATTTTTCCTTTCCAACAACCCTGGCAGCTGAGATTCACGCATCGAGTAGGATTGCCCCTCGAACCTATTCTGATTCGTGACGAGGCTAAGTTAACGAGAGCACCGTCGAGAGCACATCGAGAGCACATCACACGTTTGAAAGCAATTGGGGTAATTTCCTCGGGCATTTCATAAGTAACAGAGAACATTCATAGTTTAAACCACTCATGGTTACTCGCATCTTTAGCAGATATACGGTCTTCCGGCTTGTACTCCAATAACCGCCCCAAAAGATCTGCAAAAAGCTCTTGCTCTGTCTGGGGGATATCCCGATGACGATCTCCATTGGGATGACGGTCTGACATATACCAGAGCCCAGGAGAAATCTTATCCTTCAACGATCGAGCATTACCGGTAACAGACTGATGAATAGTACTCATGATAACGCTTGCCTTCTCTCCCGGGTCATCTTTACCTGGCTCGGATTCTAGAGCAACAACGGCAAGCCCCTGCTCGTCAACTTCATCCTTGTATATTCTTCTCCGGTCCTCCCAGGTCGAAGACCACCATGGCTCAGGAAGTTTACCTAAGACTTGAACAATGGCGTCTAAATAGTCGTTATCTTCATCATCAAATGAGCTAAACAGCTTTCTGCCAGTTCGAATTTCGAATAGACTACACCCTAATGCCCAAATGTCTGAACCAAAACCTGCTTTTTTGTCGAGAATCAACTCTGGAGAGCGATACGGCCCGGGAATACCAAGATCGTTAGGAGGTTGCGAAATTTTGAAGGACTCGCCGAAATCGATAAGACATGATTCTTTGCTTATAAACCGGGTATTAACATCCCACCAGCTCACTGGATAGACGAGGTACTGAGGGGCCGTAGACTCATAATTGCACTCCTTAGAGGCGTTCAGAACAGGATTCACAACCGGGTTGCCTAATATCCGGAGGACTTCGTCTTCATTGAGTCCATCGAGCCCAGAGATACGATGAAGGACATTGTTTGGTGTAATATCTAATCCCTCGTTAGTATTCCTAATGTCTAATAAAGGAAGAAGGTTTGAAACTGGTTCTACTTACCACCATGACATATTCTCTGGCTGTGAAGAAATTTGACAGCCTGCACAACTTGCAGACTAAGGCTTCTCAAGTCATTGTCCGGATCTGCAGAAGCCCAAAACAAGCCGAGAGATACATTTGGGCCGAGGACAGGATACACAAAGGCGAGATGGTTCCCATTCGGCCCGTGGATCTCGAAATGGTCCAGTGGGAGGCAGATGGACTCCGCGCCATCGCCTTCGGGTGCATTTTGGTTGTGAGCAGCTTCGAGCTGGTTCACTCGGAGCTCGGGGCAATCATTACTGGATATCTCGGCCATTAGAATCTTCAAAGCAACATATTTTGTTGCCTCTTTCGCCTCAGTATCCCGACTGAGCCAAACATTAGCAAAGCCACCGTGGCCAAGCTTATGGATGACAAGGTACCGCCCGTTATTGCCATACACATCGCCCAAGTGGACAGGATGGTGGCCACCAGGCTCATAGTCATGAATATGCTCTAGACCGAAGGGGGCAAGCTCTAGATGTAGACCGTTGGATTCGACGTCAACTATATCTTCTTCGGCCGTCAAAGTGGACCCTGGTGAACGTGGTAATGAGAGATCGGAAGGCATCCTAATACACCACAATGGGGTGATAGAGCTCCGGAGAAAGATTCCCTGAGCCTTGCGGTTCTTCCTTGTAATGTGCAGCTGCAAAAGACTAGAGCGCGAAGTGATGGATGTTGGAAGTGCGTGGGAGAATGATCTAGCGGGTAGAAGTTTTTGAAGGGACGATGTCAAATGACTTGTGGGTGCAAAATTCTTGATCTTGTAAAAACGGAATTTTTTTATTTGATTGTCAAGTAAGAGAGTCATGGAATCCTGTTCTTCAAAATAAGCTGATACCTGAAGTTGGATAGAGCATGTCGGTTTGGCTGGCGCGTAATAACCGCCTCGGATTGGCTCCGCTAATAGGGGCGTGCGCCTAGCGCTACAGTACCTTAGAAAACGAACTCTTTGATTGGCGTCGAGCGGCTCTTTGCCGCCGACCAAACATCGTGTCTCTATCCTAGACCAGAACAGAAATTATATCCTTGCTGCACTCTATTCGGCCGCAGTTGGGTCGGAGATTTTGCATCGATTGCGATATTTCAATACATGTCTGGTTTCCAACCTGTTTCAGGCTATATCTGACATTTGTTTTGGGAAGTACAATCCCTGGCGACAATGAAAGCCCACGCTTGCTCAGCGTGATTGCTGCACAATGTGGCCTTTTTGGACCACGCATTTGTCACCCACATGCAACTCCCTTTCGTCCACTTTCATCACCTCAGGTCTATTTATATCCAATTCGGCAGGTACGTGCTTTGCCACTCTTGCAGACAACAGAGCGGCTGTTACTATTTAAGCGCCACCAGAACAGCGACTGGAGAACTTTGTGGACGAATGTAGTGTAATTTTTCTCAAGTCATGTACGACGAAGTTAACAAAGGGTTCTCATACTGGAGTAAGGACATCACTCGCCTAATCGCCTCGAAAACAAAACATCTCCTCTTCTCTTAAAAATTACCTTCCTTGCATTCATTCTTGATTTTCTGGTATTGTGCTTCGTGCGTGTTCCTGCCAAATCTCTTACATGAGCGCCTAACTTTCAGGCCGTGGGAGAGTCCGCTCCTTTGACATCTATTCTTGAATCTGGAAGCGAGTAATGTACACCAAACCCCTGGATGCTGTTGGTTTCACATTTCTATTTTCGAAATGTCAGGGCTACTCATAGATAATCAACACATCGATTGCCCTTTTTCAACGCGTAATCTGCTTAGTAGGCTATGAAGTTGGCCAGAGTAAAGTTTCAGACTTGGTCAATGAAATGGCTGGCGCCTGGTACCACGGAGGATGTTCTTCCCAACTCAGATGATCTCTTATGTGACAGGTATAAATATGTCAATCAACTCCATTCCATATCTCGTGTCTAGAATATAGACTTATTTCATTTTCCACTTTCTGCAAAATTGCACTACAGATATCCAACTGTCGACGCTTCCGCATCTTCGATCAGCACTTCTACACATCCTATCCATTATTTCTATATCTTTATCATATTTCAATCATGTCTAGCGTAACTGTATGCCTTTACCTCTCCCAACATCCTCGTATTTTCGGGAATTCTGGCTAATAACCATAATTTCGCAGATTGAATGGCTGTGCACTCCGCCATCCGAGAGAAATCACCCGGGGCGTAGAGCTGCATGCGAGCAAATCTGCGCAGATGCCGCTCAACTTAATAGCTGGACCGTTGTTGGCATTCGGTGAGTGCTAAAGTTGAAACTTCAAATTTTCGAAATCCCAATTATCCTCAGCTGAGCGTTTCACGGCGATATCCCGATGATGGAAACAAATTCTAAGCAGCTGTTTTGCATGAATTTAGGCATTTAGACCACAGGACTACACGAGTTACCACCAGAGGTGGACGCCATCGCAGAACAGTTGCAACAGACCCTTGTATTACAGTATACATTGGCGCTCGGACGCCGATTCGAGAGAACTACATTGGAGAAGGCCACTTCTACATAGTTTACGACAGGGACCACCTCCCTCGACGTTTAGCTCGTGTATCTGAGCTACGTATTGTCAGGACTGGTGTGAACCCCGAGATTTGGGGACGAGATAGAAGACTTATGAGGACAAACGGTATATAGATTGGTAGATATAAGTGGTGGGGTAGGGTCAGATAGTCGTGGTTGGATGGGAGTTGGTTTGTTTTTTGGAGTTCTGTTCGGTAGGGTACGAATTTTGGCTGGACATATGAATACTTAGTGCCCATTCAGGGAGAGCTTAGTCTTAATACCAATGTAATCCTCCCAACGTTGTTTGGCGTAAAAGCCCATTGAATAGAAGGGGCCGATGTAGGAGTACAGGAGACGGAAGATGGAGGAAGGTCAAGGGTGACGGCTGTCCCAAGATGGAGGGGATACATTTTCTGCTCTCTGGATGTCGAAATTGAGAACAAGAAAGATAAATATTATTAAACCGGGATGGGATGATCTAACGCGTTACAGCTGTTTTAATAACTAGTTAGAAACCGCGAGGCTAAGTTTTCTACCCTTATCTAAATTCTTCCTCCTACTTCTTTAAAGTACTACTTACTTATATTATAACTACTTTTTAATATAATACTTATCTTTTTAAAGTAATTAAAGGTTTATAAATTTTAGTTTATTAAAATAATTTTAATTTATTTGTAGTATTATATGAATTATAAGACTATAGACTCTACTTAACTTATAACGCTTGCCTTATAGAAGGCTAGTATTATATAGTAATAATAGTCTTATATTTTAATAATATTAAGTAAAAGTAATTAAGATTCTTTTAAAAATTATAACTAAAGTAAACTTAAAGAGAAAGTATAAAAATAAAAGAGTAATATATAAAAAGTTAGAAAAGGTAATCTCGCTTAGCTTAGGCTATATTATTTTTATTAAAAATAATAAACTAAGCTATTTAAACTATAGAAATACCTTTAAATTCTTATATTATCTCTTTTTTTTAAAGATAAAAAGCTTATCTTTAAGTATCTATTTATTTTTTTACCTTTATTTAAGCAGTAATTATTATTATTATTATTATTATTATTATTATTATTATTTTAAAAGCTTTAATTTAAGCTAGAAGGGTTTTTAGTAAGCTAGCCTACCTTAGGTTATAAAGGTAAAGGCTTAATAGCTTATATAAGCTATATTTAATATCTAAAGTGTTATATTATATTAAATCAATATTTTAGTTTAGCTAGAAAACTTAGTAAAAAAGGTTTTCTTATAGCT